TCTCACGTTGCCCATTAGGATTGATGGAAGAGATGGTTTGAACTTCCTTCTTCTCTCTCACCTCTTTGYTCATGCTCTGCATCCACAGCACCTCCTTTTCAACTCCTCTGGGATTTGTGCTCATCTGAGATAGACTGACACAAAGTGAAAATGTGTCCTGTGGTCTAATGAGTCCACATTTCTAATTGTTTTTAGAAATCATGAACGTGTCCTCTGGGCCAAAGAGGGAAAGGACTGTCTGGATTATTTTCAGTGTGAAATTCAAAAGCCAGCCTCTCTGATGGTATGGGGGTGTATTAGTGTCCATGGCATGGGTAACTGACTAACTGTCACATCTGTGAAGGCTCCATTACTGCTGAAAACTACATCCAGGTTTCAGAGCAACATTTGCTGGCATCCAAGCCACATCTTTTTCAGGGTTGTCCTCCTGATTTCAGCAGGACAATGAAGACACATCCTGCATGTGTTCCAACAGCGCAGGTACTAGACTGGTCTGCCTGCAGTGCAGACCTGTCTCCCATTGAAAATGTGTGGAGACCCCAACAAAGGAGACCCCAGACTGTTGAGTCTCTGAAGTTTTTTTTTATCAAGCAAGAATAAAAGAATTCAGATACAAAGCTTCAACAATCAGTGTCCTCAGTTCTCAAACACTTATTGGTGTTGTTGAAGGAAAGCTGATGGAACACAGTGGTGAACATGTCCCAGCTTTTATGGAACGTGATGCAGGCTTCAATTTCAAAAGGAGTGAATATTTGCACAAAAACAAAGTTTATCCATTTGAACATTAAATATCTTGTCTTTGTAGTGGATTCAGTGGAATGAAGGTTGAAAAGGATTTGCAAATTATTATATAAAAGTATTCTGTTTTTATTTATGTTATCCACAATTTCCCAACTGTTACGGCAATATTTATTCAACCAACTTTACTGAAATTGAAGTTGTAAAACTAAAATCATCTAAAAGGAAATTTGGCATTATAAACTTTAAAAATGACATCATGCATAATCTCATGAGATATCAGGTGATCTTGCAAGCTGTGTTAATCCTTAGAGTATGTATTGTGAATGACTCTCTGCTACTACAACACCAGTTTTTAGTTCAATACCTGTTAAATGTTCTGAGATGAAGTCATTCTTGTATTGAACTGGGGTGACTCCAAAGGGTAATCAGTTGTAATCCAATGATTGCCTTCTGAAAGGTTCATTGAAATCTGTCCAGTGGTCCAAGAAATATTTTGGTAACAGACAAACATATTACTATTGCAAAAATAAAAAAACACTAAAGAGATAAAAAGTTAAAGAATGAAACCTAAAAAGATGAAAAAACTGTGTGGAGTGTCAGTTGAGCTGGGAATATTATTTGCAGAGCTGCAGACTTTTGCAGCTGCCTTGTTGGCTTTCCTGCCTGTCACTGTATGGATGTGTGTGTGTGTGTGTGTGTGTGTGTGTGTGTGT